CACCCCTTGCGTCCCGAAAGCCGCGTAAGTTCTTGCAGGCGAAGCGGCCCAAGGCTCCTCCCAGTCGAAAGCCTTGGTGGTGGCTCTTTCGAAGCCCGAAAAACCCTATTGGTGGCCTTTTCGAAGCCCTCAACCCTAAACCCTCAACCCGAAACCCTAAACCCTAAACCCTAAACCCTAAACCCTAAACCCCGAGTTCGAGGAGGGTTGAGGGTTTGGGGCTTGAGGCCCATTTGTTGGCTGCTGGCGCTGGAAGCCCTCATGGAGTGCCTGGCCACATTCTCTGCTCCTTTTGTGGGGATTTCTTCGATTTGCAATGCATCCTGCCACCATTGTCAGATGTTCCCCCTTATACTTAGAGTCCTTAATAGGGATTGTCATGGGGGGGGGCACCATAATCCCTATTGAGCACTGTTAGTAGAAGGGGGAACATCCCAAATCATTGGGCTTAGGGTTGCGGGTTTATAGGGTTTGGATTTTCGGGGTTTGGGGTAGCTCTGCTTTCGGCACCCCTCTCGGGTTAGCCCAAGCATAGGGTTCTTAGGGTTTTTGGGGGTTCTTAGGGTTTTCAGGGTTTTGAAGGGTTATAGGATGTTTGGCGTTTGTGAGGGTCGTTTAAGGGTTCCATTGGGGTTTGTTGCGCTTCGTTTCAGGGTTTTTGGGGGCTTTCAGGGCTTCGACTGTCCGAAACCCTAAACCCTAAACCCCTAAACCCTAAACTCCCTAAACCCTAAACTCCCTAAACCCTAAACTCCCTAAACCCTAAACTCCCTAAACCCAAAACCCCAAACCCTAAACCCCACCCCCACGGCCTGGATCAGCGAGGGCCCATCGGAGCTTTGCAGGCGAGGCGGGATCCTCGCAGACTGTCTATAGGGTTTAGGGTTTAGGGTTTCGCGTTTAGGGTTTAGGGTTTAGGGTTTAGGGTTTAGGGTTTAGGGTTTAGGGTTTAGGGATCTAAGTTCTGTGTGGTTGGCACGCACGGCCGCAAGGGACATGCGAGAAAGATGCGCCAACACAGGCATCAATTGAAGAGAACCCCTGGAGGCATCCAAGAAGCTGGGATCTACTTGGAGGTTCATGGTACATATCAACCAAGTATAACTGTGCTTAGAACTGTACTTCTAACCATATTCGGGCACTTAAGGGGCTTGTAAGCTGGTCATAAGTACAGTGATAATTGGTTAAGAAGTACCCCTAAACCCTAAACCCTAAACCCCAAAAAGTACTTTGGCTCATATATACCATGAACCTGCAAGTAGAGTGTAGGGCGCAGGGCTTTGAAGAAAAGCCAAGTTGCATCACCCGCTCGAGCGGGTAGACCTGGCCAGCTATTGGGGTTTAGGGTTTGGGGTTCAGGGTTTAGGGTTTAGGGTTTAGGGTTTAGGGTTTAGGGTTTAGGGTTTAGGGTTTAGGGTTTAGGGTTTAGGGTTTAGGGTTTAGGGTTTAGGGTTTAGGCTTCACACAGCCCGCAACCCCCAAGACCCAAAAGCACGGCGGCCTGGTTCATGATTGCGAGCCCTGCGTCGTAGGCCTCCCAAGTCGAGAGAGCTTGGAGGCCCTGAACCCCACGCCCTCAAACCTATACCCTAAACCCTGAACCCTAAACCCTAAACCCTAAACCCTAAATTCTAAACCCTAAACCCTAAACCCTAAACCCTAAACCCTAAACCCTAAACCCTAAACCCTAAACCCTAAACCCTAGCCTTTTGCCCTAAACCCCCAACTTGGAATTAGGGCTTAGGGCGTAGGGCTTTTGGGGCGCTAAACCCTTTTGGGCTTGGGCGTTTTTTGAGATTCGCCCTTCAACCCCTGGCCCTACCCCCGAAAATCGGTCGCACGGGCACCGTTCTTTTTTCCCCCAACTCAGCCTCCAGGGCTGTGGGCAGGAAGCGGCTTGGGTCGATCGCCTTCAGGTCGGTTTGTTTTGTGTGGCAGGATGAAGTACGGGGGAGGAGGGGGCCTCTCACCTCCCACATATATATATATATACATATACATATACACATATATATATATATATATATACAACTATGTCTATACAAGCTTTTGCGGGGGGATGATGGCTCACGGTAAATCGTGGGTGGGTATGATCTGCGGGGTCGTCTTTCACTGTCCACCCTTTTGTACTTCTTCGCTCCCATTTGTATTGGGGGTGTGGAGTTTAGGGTTTAGGGTTTAGGGCTTAGGGTTTAAGGTTTCGGCGCTCACACTCCCACAAGGCAGGCAAGGATTCGGTAGGGTTTAGGGTTTAGGGTGTAGGGTTTAGGGTTAAGGGTTTGGGGTTTGGGGTTTGGGGTTTAGGGTTTAGAGTTTAAATTTAGTATTTAGAGTTTAGGGTTTGGGGTTTAGGGGGCAACCCTACTGTAAGCCAAAAACCGACGCACCGAAAGAAGCCATCGGGGCGCAAAGCCAAAGCATACGTTGCTGCTGAGGACGTCGGTGGGCTTCACCTGGAGGCTGATCTTATGGATCTTACAGGGGTCGGTTTAGGGTTTAGGGTTTAGGGTTTAGGGTTTAGGGTTTAGGGTTTAGGGTTTAGGGTTTAGGGTTTAGGGTTTAGGGTTTAGGGTTTAGGGTTAGGATTTAGGGTTTAGGGTTTAGGGTTTAGGGTTTAGGGTCCTTTTGCAACTGTGAGGGCTTTGCTCTGGGCTGCTGATCGCACGGCACCTCGACAGCAAAGACAGGGCCGGGCGCCGTCACCCCGGCTCTGTAGTTGCCGCTGGCACCTAAACAAGGGCTCCAAAAAGGCTAAACTTTACTTTACTCGTTTAGGGTTTAGGGTTTCGGGTTTAGGGTTTAGGGTTTAGGGTGTATATTCCTACTAAATAAGGTTAAAGTAGGACTGGAAGTCATCTGGGAGGGAGGGCGGGGGGAGGGGGGGGGGTTACGGGGTGTAGAGCTTGGGGTTGGGTTTCGGGGCTTGGGGTTTAGGATTAAAACACAAAGTTCAGGGCGATGCGCAGGGGCTCAAAACGGCTTGCCTTGGCATGATGTACATTGGTCCTCTACCATCGGCCCTATCTGATTCGAATGGGAATGACAGGTTGTGTATATTCGAAAGAATAAAAAGTTTTGACGAGTGAATATTGGTGATGAGGCAATGATCCAAGGCGCCCCGAAACCCTCGAGCCCCGAAGCTAAACCCTTTTGCATCTGTCCTGCTCCCTAAAACCCCAAACCCCAAACCCTAAACAATACACCCTAAACCCTAACCCTAAACCCTAGCCCTAAACCCTAAACCCTAAACCCTAAACCTAAAACTCCCTCCGACTCGGCGGCACCGGCGAAGGACTCCACGATGGTGCGGAGGGGCGCCATGCTCTCCATCCTCGGCGACCCCAATGATCCCAATAGCCCCTTAAGTAAGGGTTGAGGGTTTAGGGTTTGGGGTTTAGGGTTTAGGGTTTAGGGTTTCGGGTTTAGGGATTAGGGTTTAAGGTTTAGGGTTTAGGGTTTAGGGTTTAGGGTTTAGGGTTTAGGGTTTAGACCATAAATCAGATTATGTCATATTAAGGATCCCTTCATGTACTTAACCAGAGAGCCCAATACCCCTTGAAGAAGGAAGATGCCCCTTTTTTCATGTTAAGGATCCCTGTATAAGTTTAAGGCGTGTCCTCACTTAAGGGGTATTGGGCTCTTTGGGGCGTTTATGTGAGAGATATTCATGGGGGCCCTACAGAGGAACCGTTAAGGGGCAGCATGCATTAAGTGTATGTATACATATAGAAAGGGCAGGGCTTACGGGCAGCTGCACATTCCTTCAGTTACGGAAACAGGCACGTGTTGCTCCAAGACGAAATACCCTACTTGGAGGTTCATGGGTACTCATAAACCCAAGTATCTGTTCACTTATAACCTGCTTAGAAGACTTAGCTCAGAAGTACACTCGTAATTGGGGTGAGAAGTACCCTGGACCTCCATAGTAAGCCCGATTGACTAAACCCTAAACTTAAACCCTAAACCCTAAGCTTCCGCCACGGCTCGCGTGGACGAACGACTGGACGGCATTTTTGGCGATGTTACGCAAGGTGTCCTGTGAATCTCGAGGTTCATGGTACTTATCAACCTAGCATAACTGTACTTATAAGGGTTTAGGGTTTAGGGACCAACCATAACTGTATTTATAACTGTACTACTGTATTAAAAACCATGCTAGGGCCCTTAAAGGGCTGATAAGTGGGCTATACGTACAGTTATAATTGGTTAATAAGGTACCATGAACCTCCAAGCACGCCCCTGGACCCTGCTTGAAGGCTCATGGGTCCTAAACCCTAAACCCTAAACCCTAAACCCTAAACCCTAAACCCTAAACCCTAAACCCTAAACCAACCTAACCCGCAAGAAAAGGGGAATCAGGGCCTACTCTGGGTCCTAGGGTTTCGGTGAAGGGCTCCAGGAGGCTACAGGATGCTTTGGCTGCCAACTGTCCAGGGATTTTGAGGGTTTAGGGTTTAGGGTTTAGGGTTTAGGGTTTAGGGTTTAGGGTTTAGGGTTTAGGGTTTAGGGTTTAGGGTTTAGGGTTTAGGGTGTAGGGTGTAGGGTGTAGGGTGTAGGGTGTAGGGTGTAGGGTGGAAGGTTTAGGGTTTGGGGCTTAGGGATAAGGGGGTTTACAGGGTTAAGCTTGGAGCTTGTAGATTTATAGGGCCCTTCACAAAGGGTGGTTCAAGGGGGGCATGCAACCCAACTATTCCCTAAAGCTCCCCCAAGCTTCCTGAAGGTTGCCCAGGTACCGACCCCCCATGAACCCCCGTCCCTTGAAAACCCCAAAACAATATTTTAGGGTTGCAGAATCCAAGACGTGATCAAGAAGCTGCTGCTGCCGGTGCCGGCTTTCGTTTTGCAACTGGATCGATTGGCCTGTAGCTGTAGCTGTAGCGATGTTTTCAGCCAAACGCGAGGGGAAAAAAAGGGTGAAAGGCGGAGGAATGCCGCAAGTTGCAGCAGTCCATCCCCCGCTCGGTCTCTCCACTTTCTCCAAGAGGAGGTGGTAGTCTTTCCTACGTCCTTACTTCTCCAAGAACCACTTGGGAACAAAAAGGCTATACTGTACTATTCCTACTAAGTAAGGCAAAAAGGCTATACTTTACTCTTCCTACTAAGTAAGGAAACCCGAAAAGCTTAAAGCTCAACTGTTGCTCAGTTGTCCAGTACCTAGGGGTTTTAAAGGTTAACCTTTGGGAATATAAGGGGAATATGTTAACCCAAAAAGGTTAAAGGTTACCTACTCTACTACTAAGGTTGGCAAAAGTAAGCGTCCCATTCGCAACATCGGCCTCGGGCCCCCCGAGATGCCCGTCGCTTCCCTGTCGTTGCTTCGCAGGCTCCTGAGGGCTCTTCCTCGACTCTTGCCTAGGTGTCGATTTCAATAGCCCTAAACCCTAAACCCTAAACCCTAAACCCTAAACCCTAAACCCTAAACCCTAAACCCCTAAACCCCTAAACCCCTAAACAACAGGGCATGTTAACACAAGTGTCCCAAAGAGCGATACCCAGTTGCTGATCGACAGCATACCAGACACCTCCAAAGAGGCTGAAGATGATACCTGCCATGACGAGAGGAGCCTGTAGAACCTGAGAAGCCCAGTAACCATGGTATAATAAGGGCACCCTTTTTTGGGTTGGTTACTTTATAAGGGAACCTTGAACCCCAAAAAGGGGAAAAGGGTACCACTGGGCTACCAAGGAACTGGATCCGAGAAGAAGACGATGCCCTCGAAGACCACGACGAAGTTCGAGAGGTTGCTGAACACGAGCGTGGACGTGGCCGACGTGGCCTTGAGCAGGTAGAGCACTGCCATGTGGTTGCCGACAAAGGCAAACCTATACTCCCCTTAGAACCTTAATAAGAATGATATGTTTACTACCCTCTTGGGTTTTGTATAAACAAAAATTTCAAACAAAATCCCAAGGGGGACATAGAAACACGGACAAGGCCAGCATCAGCATGATCGATGGATTCCGGAGCCAAACATTCCAGGCTTCCAAGAAGAAGCGCTCGTCCAGCGTGGTGAGGACCCCCGCCGGCAGCATCAAAAGCAAGCCATCGACGGCGCACAGCAGTGAGGCTGGCGCCTCTCTACACTCTGCGAGCAGCATCCGCTGCAGCAGTCCTTCGTTTCCCAGTATCCTAGAGGGGGAGCTAAAGGCGAACCTGCGGGTTCTCTGTGGATTCTTCATCCAGGGGAGCTAGAGGTTAAGGGATCACATAGGGATTCTCATACCCCCCCAAGAAAAAGTCCTAAAGGCTACCTACTCTCAGTAGTACCGGGATTCTCATACCCCCAAAAAAAGTCTTAAAGGCTACCTACTCTAAAGGTTACCTACTCTCAGCGGTACCGGGATTCTCATACCCCCAAAAAAAAGTCTTAAAGGTTACCTGAACCCTAAACCCTAAACCCTAAACCCTAAACCCCAAACCCTAAACCCTAAACCCTAAACCCTAAACCCTACTCTCACTAGTACCAAGAGTCGATACGGCAGGACGATGGCCACCAGAAGCCCGGCAGCCCTTGCTCCATTCGCAGAGAAGTCTGGGTATTGCCTCGGAGGGCCCGTTAATTTATACGCCTCTGAAAAAAGACTTCCTGATTCCTAGCCCTAAACCCTAAACCCTAAACCCTAAACCCTAAACCCTAAACCCTAAACCCTAAACCCTAAACCCCTCTGAGCCCAACAGGGGAATCATTGAAAATATCCCCAAGAGCCTACCTAGTTGAAAACATCTTCCTACAAGTGACCCTCTGAACCCAAATTTGGGAATCACAAAAACGTCCCATGGGCCTATACCTAGTAGCAGGCTAAACAAGAGGGCCCCGGAGGCCATAGTGATCAGCGCCATCTTCGAAGAGAAGGACACGCTGAAGCCCCTGGACACCTTAACCATATTGTTTAGGGTTTAGGGTTTAGTTGAGGGTTGAGGGCTTAACCCGTTTTTTGGGTTGGCTACTTTGGTTGGGAATCTTGAATCTTGAACCAAAAAAGGGGGGGAAAGGGCACCGCTGGGCTGCCAAGACACGCTGGAAGGAAGGACCAGGGGCTCGATGAACACGGCACAGAGTGGGCAGAGATTCAGGAACACCGTGCGCTCGGACAGGGAGCAGTACAAGGACACCTCGTGGTTGATCAGCTGGTACGCCACCTGGGCGGGCCCCGTAGAACCTTCTGAGAAAATGTTCAGCTGAAGGTATTCCTGAATATTGCAGGGTTTAGGAGTTTTGGGGTTTAGGGCTTGGGGTATAGGATTTCGGGTGCAGGGTATTCCTGAATCTGATCCTCTTTTCAACCCAAGAAGGGAACCTCTAAAATCTTCCAAGGGCCTAGCCACAAACCACAAGGCCGCTGGCATCCACCTCAAGAGTGGGTACACCAGGGACCCACAAGACAGCGGGTACCTCAGTAGCCGAGACAATTGAGGGTTAACCTTGGGGATTTCATAGAAATATAATGCCCAAAAGAAGGTTAAAGGTTACATTAGGAACTAGAACACCCCATAAAAATGCTACAGGCTGAATAGGAACTATATTACCCCAAAAAAGGTTAAAGGCTCTCTACTCTACCACTAAGGCACAAGAAAAGCTCCCAAGGCAAGCCTAAACCCTAAACCTTAAACCCTAAACCCTAAACTACCACGAAGGCACAAGGAAAGCTCCGAAGGCACCCGGGAGGAGCCCTCATCCTGTCTCGCTGCGACACGACCGGTAAAGCTGCCGTAGATGTGACATCCTGGGTAGCCCGGTAACTAGGGTTTAGGGTTTAGGGTTTAGGGTTTAGGGTTTAGGGTTTAGGGTGTAGGGTGTAGGGTGTAGGGTTTAGGGTTTAGGGTTTAGGGTTTAGGGTTTAGGGTTTAACCCTTTTTTGGGTTGGTTACTTTATAAGGGAACCCATAACCAAAGAAAGGGAAAGGGTACCACTGGGCTACCAAGCATCCCAGCGTCCAGACAGCTGTGATGGCAAACATTAGCCCTGCACCATTGTTTGGGGTTTAGGGTTTAGGGTTTAGGGTTTAGGGTTTAGGGTTTAGGGTTTAGGGTTTAGGGTTTAGGGTTTAGGGTTTAGGGTTTAGGGTTTAGGGTGGCAAGCATTTGCCCTGCACCATGGTTGGGGGGGTACTATTTAAGAATGATCATTGTTGTTCCTTCTTTGGGTTTAAGTGTTCGGAACAGTGCAAGACGATTTTCAACAATGACCCAGAGGCCTGCTTGAATCGTTGTCAGTGCCATTGGGGCAGCTGTCAAAGTAGACAAGGACTGGTTCACCAGGTCCAAGCCGACGGTGAAGGCGCAAAGAGTGAAAGGCACAAGGATCAAGTAGTGTTTCTCTTGGTATCCATAGTGTACAAAGTACGCCCAGGCCATGGCCAGCGGAACGTACAGCAAAAGATAAACCGACACGATGATTTCTGGCGTTGCAATGTCAACATCCACTGCCGTGGCAAAGGTGTTGTGGCTGTGGGGCTGCACCGGCACCAT